AACAGAAGGTACCGCGGAGCATGGAACAACGCATTGTGATCAAATTCCTTGTTGGAGAAAACATCCCATCCACTGAAATTCACCACAGACTCCGACAACAGTATGGGGAAGAGTGTCCCTCACGGACCCGTGTGTTTGAGTGGTGTAAGTGCTTCAGAGAGGGCAGAGAGCGCGTGGAGAATGAACCACATGATCGTCGCCTGCGAACATCCATCACCAAGCCAAACATTGATCGTGCGGACGTGCTTATTCGTGAGAATAGGCACATCACTTTCGAGGAACTTGGAGCAATGCTGTCCATCAGTGTTGGTAGTGTAGAAGACATTGTGAAATACCACCTGCACTATCGCAAGGTGAATGCATGGTGGGTACCACGCACTTTGACGGATGTGAACAAAATGGTGGGCATGCAAGCTGCCAGTCATCTCCTACAGCAGTTTGAAGACGAAGGTGATGCATTTTTGAAGTCTATAGCAACCACCAATGAAACATGGGAGCACTACTTCATTCATGAGTCCCAGCAGTCATCAGGCGAGTGGCGGCATACCAGTTCTCCCAAACCCAAGAGAGCGCGGAGGAGCCCTTCAGCAGGAAAAGTGATGGCAATGTTCTTCTGGGACTGGCAGGGGATTATCCATGTAGACTTTCTGACAGATGCCAGAACAGTCAAACCTCCTGGCAATAGACATGAAGGAAAAGGTCTGATCCAAGCGGAAGACAGGTGGAGAGCAGGTAGCCTTCCTTCAAGACAATGCACGCCCCCATATGGCCAGAACAACAATGGAAACCCTCCAGAAACTGAAATGGAACCTTCTGGCACATCTGCCATAATCCCAATTTGGCACTAAGTGATTTCTACCTACAACGACGCCGTCATCCAGACTGTTCAGGAGTGGATACGCCGCCAACCACAAGCCATTTTTGAAAAGGGCATAAGGATGCTTCCAGAATGTTGGAAAAAATGTGCTGACTCCGGAGGGGAGTACGTTGAAGACTGACATGTGCAAGTAAGTGTTTGGCAATTATGGTTTTTAAAAAGAAAATCAGTCCTGGTCATATCCGAACCACCTTGTATATGGTTATATACACTTTCAGTGATGCTCAATGTGGATGAGTCCATATATAAGGAACTCATCTCCATCAGGTCATTCTCTGTTGAAATTCTGTCAGCATATTTCCATTTCAAAAACCTTCAGCTCATGTAAAAGCCTTAGTTCTTTCTTGCTGTCTTACCCATCTTCACTGCCCAACATTTATTACTTTGGGACTAGAGCAGACAAAAATTAAATTATTGTGCTTTTCCAACAAAGGAAGGGATCGTTTTGATTTATGAGACAACCATCTGAGTCAGTATATTTCTGCCTGTTTTGCTGACTTATTGGTTAAGGAGCCAGGACAGACCTGAACAGCTAATGCTGCCATAGCAGACTGGACTTGATGAAAGTTATTCACATACTTCCTTCTTAATGCTCACAGAGTGGCTAGTGTTACAGTAGTGTTATATCAGTCTAAACCTCAAAATATTGGGTCTAAGACGATGTTCCCAACAGTAATGGTGGGGGTAGGATGGGAAGGTGTCCATAAACTCATCTGTACTTTCACTACAAATCAGACTGGGACTTTCAGGCAAGTGATTTAAGAATATTTCAGCTGTTGCAGCTGGACTTTAGCTACAGTTTTCAGTAAACTCTTGTACAGTACACTATGCCTGTTCTTTGAGACCCTGTGAGTATAATTTATACGTATATTGAATTGTTCAGAACAATTGCTGACCCCTTTGAAGCATAGAAACTACTTTATAACTGTAAATCACTGACTTATACTGCAGTCTTGAACTTCTGTCTAAATTTAAAGTAGGATTTATGCTAACTCTTGTGTCTTCCAGAATATAATAATCTGAACCTGCAACAGAAGGCACCCATTTATGCAAGTCTGTTCAGAAACACTTATCTCTGGTGGGCAAGCCTTCTCGTTTATGAAAATAAGCAAATCTAAACTGAACCACTGAAAGATAAAATCTTACATCAATCCTTTGACTTGCCACAACAAGTACATCACACCTGACCTGAAATGACTGGCATCTGCAGTGCAGGCTCAGCAGTCACATTAGTAAGTTGTTGTTATAATTACTTGTAAACATTTTAATTTCTATCTATATTAACTTTTTACAGTTACACTACATCTTCTATAGGCGCGTGAAGAATTAAAATCAGCCTTCTACAGAAGTATTTCCTACTGTCAAGAGAAAATAATAATTAGATTGTGCTTATAATGTCCATCTTGTGCAGCCCACAGACTAAACAGCTTCACATATGATGAGATAGAAATGATTTGGAAGAAAGTCGCTATGGCCTAATCAAGGCACTATCCCAGCACTTCCCTGGAGAAACTGAGGAAAAACACAAACTATGTCAGGCTAGCTGATGTCCCAGCCAAGATTCGAACCAAGCATCCCCTATATACAAGTTAAAAATGTTCCTGCTAGACCATCATGCTCATTCCCTCATCATTCTTTCTACATACAAGGTGCCAAAATTCCAGAGTGCAGCACTGTGCACATGATCTTATCTTTAGACAGACATTTGGTACTTATGAAGTACTACAAAGAGACAACTGCAATCCAATAGTGGAACTTCGCTTAACGAGCACCTATCATAATGAGTAATTCGCATAACAAGCAAAACAAATTGTAAAAAAAATGACTCGCTTAACAAGCGACGTTTCGCATAACGAGTGACGAGAGGATCAGTCCCAGATAGTGCACTTGCTACATCAGTCTGTGTTTAGCACTCGTTCCGCTAGCATCTTAGTGTCGCTTGTGATCACACATTTTTCCAAACTTGTGTTCAGACATATTATTTGTAATTTTTTTGTGTGCAAAGTTTAATAACCCTTGCAAAAATGTCCCCAAAGAAAAAGCCGCAAAAAGACAGCCATAAGAGAATAAAAATAACCGTAGAAATGAAACGTAAAATCGTTGAAAAGCAAGAACGAGGTGTGAGCGTGGCTGATCTAGCACGCACATACAATCTGTCTACATCAATGATCTGACTATCCTCAAGAACAAGGACAAGATTAAGGAGATAGATGTTTCAAAGGGACTGTGACAAGAATATCTACGCAACGGTTACGTACTCTCAACGATGCTGAAAGGTTGCTCCTCATATGGATAAACGAAAAGGAATTGCAAGGCACAGAAGAAAAGATTAAGATGATTTACGCTCCTTAACAATGTATATAGCCCAACCAACAAGCTGGAGGACCACCCCCTTTTGCCTGTCCAAAATTGCTTATTCAATATATTCCCAGCTTCCCTCCATACCTGGAGGGCGTCTTCTCCATTTGCAACCTGAGTACATGCCATGCCGTGGTGACAAGGGACCCACAAAACATGGCCTAAACGATAACATCAAATAAAATAATACATGGAGGGTGGGAATATATCAGATGAAATGATTTAATTAAACATGCTGGCAAAAGTTTGGGTCAAGTTGTGGATGCAGCTATTTATTGCCCCCATCATGCCATACAATCCAGCTTGTAGCATCACATCTGAAGTTCCACTCATTCTCTTCTTTCTGCTAGAAACTTTCCACAAAAAGGTTAAAGTAAATTAAAAAAGGGTAAACCTATCCCTGCAACAGGCCATGGAGGTCCATAGGTCTGTGAAATGCCAAGACTCCCACACTTTGTAGACAAACAGCTCACAGATGGCTGTGACGCTGTCAGCCTTACACACCAGCAGCACTTTACCCCCCAGAAGATGCCTGGTACTCATTTCTGTCAGAGGCTGAATCGACCCCCAGGGCCACAGTGTGGCTAGAATTGAACAATCCGATGACCTCATTTGGAACAGAACCCGTGACCTTCCGGCTTGTAGCTTAGTGCCTCAACCAACTATGCTACTCATGCCCCTCCACACAAAGAGTTGAATTCTTTTGCAGATACATGTAATGAACAATGCTACTGAAACATACCCCTTCTGTGCCTTTACTGAACAACAAATCATCAGAACAGTCTGCATACCTTGTTTTAAAAGGGGCATGAAAGATGAAACTCTTACTAGCTTCTATGAATATAACACACATATTACATAACACATCTAAGACAAAAACTTCATGTATGGTACAACTGTGAACACTACTGGATAATCTAAAAATAACACAGCCAACAATTATCAAACTTCAAGTGAACCACAAAAAAGCCTAGCTTCTGCTGTTACTGGTGACATCACATGTTAGCATCACTGCATAAAGCATGCTGTGACCTAAGGGAGTAAAGTGGACTTTATGAGAAGTGCTTATCATTATAGGATAACAAATAGTATAGCTATAACACCACCTACGATTCAATCTATTATTTTTCTGATGCAGTTAAAATCAACAAAGCTGCCAAGGAACAACATTCTTAGGAAAACCGAATATCTACGTTTCCTTCTGCCTGCATATTAACAAAATATGTTGAGAACTGAGATTCTAAAGCAAAGAAAGAGAAAAAATGTTGATGGGACATATGTAACACTTTCTGCCCATACAAATTACAAGACCGCCTTCCTTCACCTAATGAAATATATAACGTCACTGAATCCACTATTTTTAATTCCCCAGACTCTCTTACTTTTTCATAACCCAACAATGCACATCTTTACTTCAATGTAATGATTGTGTGTGGTTATTTTACGATGGTCAGTAGCTACACTACATAGGGAATGGTACGATGCGTGATATATTAGAATACAGTCGTGGCCTACTCCATACACTAACCAAGCATTTGCCTCGAGTGGCTGAGGAAGAATAAGAAAAACCTGTCACAAAATCAGATGTCCCGACTGAGAATCGGGCAGGGCACTTCCTTAGAACGCGTCTCAGCGTTACCACTTCGCCTAACCTGGTAATATGCCCAACATAAACCCGACACCATGGCACTGTCATCAAAAAAATACGCCTGTCATTACACAAAATACACACGTCTAACTGCAATTCAATAAGGGCAACACTTACCTATGAGATTTTGTAGCGTTTCCTGATCAACGGACACTGTACCATCATTGTTTACAATTATGATTAGGGTATTGTCCGATTTGTGGTCGTCTGTAGTATCAGCCACAAATGTGCTTGACATGATGAAGCAACTAGAATGGAATGACTGTTTCAGATTCAAACACACGTGGAACACCACAACAAAATAAACTTTAGTCTGGAAGTTGCCTCAGAACGTCAACAGTTTTGCGCATGACTGTACCTTGATCACGACCGGAAAACTCGCTATCAGATCGACTTTAAACGCATTCTCTAGGTAATTTCAATGAAAAATAACCACTCTGTCTACTTACTCATTTGATTATGGATGACATTAAATCAGAAGAAAGATCCTAAATTAACACTGAACCACTGTAACAACACAATCAGCCATATTGGATTTTACCGCAACAAAGCGCAGCCAGCGGCCAACCTTGAATGAATCAGGTTGAATTTAACGCACACGAGCAAAAATTATCTTTAGACGAATGCCTTATTCTGTTCTTCAATGTATGAGGAACATCCATAACAACATTAATGCTTGATTCTCAAGACTATTAAGCTCAAAAAGGGGTGGAAAATGCGCAACTGCATCTCATCTTTCCTATCATCTCACCCCCACTCATGTTGGTTGTGCAAGTCCCATCATGCATCGGACTATGAACAGAAGCAAAGATAAGTCTCGATAAGTTTGATGTTGTTTGGGGTCATACTGTTTTGCTATGAAATTCAATATGTTTACTGTGTAATATTTATGTTACTAGAATTATGGAGTTATAGTCTGTATGGATTTTTAATATGTATAGGAACACACATGACTGGTATTAGAAACGTTTATACGTGGCTTACGAGTTTAAAGCACGAACCCCCCGTTGCTGATTCTCATCTAAATGCGAATTAATGCATAAATTGTTTTATGGTCCTAATGTGTAGAATGCTGCATTAAGTAAACAGACTATGTAATTGAAATTAAGTGAGGATAAAAATTATCTCTTGCTGAGACATATTTCATTAATAAACTGACCACGTGCAATTTTCTAATGTTCGCAGTTTCACTGCGTACCACTAGAGTGTACGCAGGTAGGGAAGGTCTGCAGACCAGCTCAGTGCAGAACGGTAGTTATCGTACTGATCGTACTTACTAGCGGCAGAATTGAACGGATGTGAAGGCACGGTTGAAGAAGAGAGGCAAAGATGAGCTTCACAGTTACTCTGTCAAATCACTAAGAGACCAAGAGCGACCAAAAGGAACAGAGCAGAAAGCCACTTTGAATGAGACTAATTGGAAACTCGTAAACCTCGTAAAGCAAATAGACTTGAAAGGATTCTGACGATGGTGTATACTGTACTTCTTTTGGCTTATTTTGGACTTCACCCATCGTCTGGTATGTAAAAGACAAAAGGACAAAAAACCACGACGTTTCGGAGACTGGATCTGTCTCCGTCTTCAGGTGGATAGGGAAGGATAAACCTACTCAGTTGGGCCCCTTAGAAAGAGCTAGTTTCAATCACTGGTCCAGTGATTGAGACGGATTGAGACCTGAAGACGGAGACAGATCCAGTCTCCGAAACGTCGTGGTTTTTTGTCTTTTCGTCTTTTACATACCAGACGATGGGTGAAGTCCAAAATAAGCCAAAAGAAGTACTCATAAAGCAAGCTTAAGTAGACTTAATATTGTGTCCTTGGCAGAATGCACTTGTGGTGACAAGTTGCAAACGGAGTAACGTATTTTCTGTGATTGTAAACTGTACGAGGTCCAATGAAGGACATTTTGTCTGAGAACAACATAAAAGAATATCCAAAGTCACAGAGTTCTTAAGGCTAGAGGAAAAAGATATTTGCAAGGCGGCTCTTACTTCATAAACAAAATCCCCAAATATATTTAAAAAAACTAAAAGAAGTACAAAATATTAATGGTGTATTCCTACAATTAAGAGTCACGTTCAAAAAATATGGGGTAACCACTATGATCGAATGAAATGTTTATAAGTGTTGCTATATATATTACTTAAAAATATACACAGACTATAACTCTGTAATTCTAGTAACATAAATATTACACATTAAACACACTGAATTTCATAGCAACACAGCATAACTCAAAACAAAAGCATACTTCTGTTCACTTCTGTCTGATGCATAATGGGACTTGCACAACGAACACAAGTGTGAGGAGTGTGGGGTTGGGGGGTGAAATGTTGGGAATGAAGAGATGCAGTTGCGCATTTTCCACCCCTCCTTGAGATTAATAATTTTGAGAATCAAGCATTAATGTTGTTGTACAGAGCTACAGAGGGCCAGATGGGCATTTCATATGCCACTGTTATATATACATTTATTTTTTCAAAAGAATTGTAGTAATTAGCGTAATAGCAATCTGTGCTGTACACCGGTTAAGAAGTTTGTAGTGTAGGTTCTAAAGGGTTGTGACTATGGTGTAACATACAGAATTACAGGGTTTTTGGACTTTTTCCATTGTCCGGTATTTTAGAGAATAGAAAACGCGATCTATGTCCATCTTCAGGTGAAGGAGGGAGAAGACACCTACTCAGTTGGGCCCCTTAGATAGAGCTATTCTCAATCACTGGAGAACCCCTGTCAGATTTACATAGCTTGTAATGGCTTTTTTCACTTAACTACTAATCTTTGCAATTGTAATTTAAATGCCCGATCTGCAGTGTATTTTAATGTTATATACATAGAATTAATGGTATTTCATTTTCTCATATGTTGAATTATGAACTGATCAGTGAATAATTGTAAAGAATGTGGAAGTGGCCATACTACAGCTCCGCTATTTGCTTGTATGCACTGAGAAAAACCAATGAATACTTGAGTTGGAAGAACTAGTCTCCAGCTTGAGATCTGGCAGAATTTTTGCTCTGTAACTTTTTGTTCCCAGTTAACGCCATAGGAAAGTACATAAGCTTAATCATAGCCTCAAACAGTATATTTAAAAACTTCGTTTCAAATGTTCCTGTGGGTTAAGTGAAGTTTAAATTGTAATGGTGGTAAACAGATTCCATTTTTGTTGCCAAAAAGGATTCTTTGTAGTTCTAGGATAAATGTGCAAAATAAAGAACTGTTATTTCAATGCCCAGCCAGTTACATTTTGTACCTCATTCTTTTCAACAAAATATGTAGCAGGATTTGGTTTGCATAATTAATCATAATGATTTATTTTCATAAAATAAAAGTATTACGAACTCCATAGAGCAGAATCGTACTGATTGTGTGCTAAGGTACCAAATGCCTGCCTTCTGTGGGTTCTGAAGTGTGCCTTCACATGAGCCAGATGGAGTGATTGTCCTCACACTTTCTTTCTTTAAAATCAATTTTCATGGAGGGCCCTTGTGAAGACAGTAATGAACCTTCAGGTTCCATAAAATGCTGAGAAATTCTTGAGTAGAATTGGTGGCTCATCCAGAAGGGCTCAGCTCCATGACAAAGTGATTCATACTTGGTGAAGAGAATAAACTATGAAGAGCTCACACAGGGAAATATGGATGGATATAAAGACAGGGCCAGGACTCAACAACTAACGAGGTGTGCAACACGGTAAAATTATCTTACAAACTGTAGCAGGGATCTCCACTTAATAACCCCTACCAATTTTAAACTTTCACAGTGGTTAATTACTGATGTTAATTATGTTTCTGGGCTGTCACACTATGCATGTGGGCACTGTTTCAAATGTATGGGCTTCCCATATCTTCAGGGTCAAAGTGTGGAAGGTGAGTAAGTCTGCGTATCTATAGGAACCTGTTTCATAAAACACTGGGGAGGGGCAGGTAGTGTGTGGACTGGTGCTTCATCTGGTGCAACAGTGACGGTGCACCAGCAAAGTTGTGCAGCTGATAGGAAATACCAGGAACAGCAGCAGTTTAATTTAAACTCATTGAGGTTCGGACCCAACGGAGTAGGTGTCTTCCCCTTCACCTGAGAATGGGAACAGATCTATTTTCCGAAACATTGTGTTCTATAATGTTTTGGAATACTGGAGGAAGGACAAAGTCCAAAAACGAAGTAATTCTGAGTGTTAATACTATATGTCTCTTTTCAATTTCTTAAAATGTAATGAATTAATTTAACTAACAGATTTTGAAATTTATACTGGCATTGTAGTTTTATGCAAGTCCATCATCATTTGTACATTTTTTACATATCATCCAAGAGTGGCCTATATGGCCTATATGCTGTGAGTGAAATAACAAACACATTTGTGACAGAAAAACATATTCATTTTTATTTGATCTATAACTTAACACACAACAAATGTGATATATTTATATGAATGTTATATGATAATTCTCAAGCATATATTTGGAAATCTTTTACTCAGTTTTGCACAGGTTCTTGAAGTACAAAGAATCAAATAACATTCCAGTGGCTAAAAATCAGTATGAAATATACCAGGTGGTAAAAAAAATGACTCGCTTAACAACTTCCAAAGAAACTGTTATGTATCACTTCCAAACAAATTTTTTAAGAAGTTACTTCTATCTTCAACTCCACCTGCCATGTTTTCAGATTTTTGTCCATTATCATGATATATTTCTTTATCTGTTTTTCTCTGATGGTACTGTGTTAAAAAGCTGCTCAACCTTGATGCACTTTTTAAGTCTTGTAACTTATCTCTTCTCTTACGAAGTCTTTCACTTTTTTCAGTGTTATGAGAAATAATGTTAGCTTCCCTTTTAGCTTGGGCTATCTCAGTGCGAAGGCGCTGCTGATGAACTGCGCGTTCATATGCAAGTCTCTCATTCAAATGAACCCATTTAAACCTGTAACACAAGCAGTGATTATGAAAGATTTGAAGTTCTCATGGTTGTTGACTATGAAGAACGGTGTCTTCTCGGTAAGATTTACCAGAGCTTCATAAAATCACATGACCTCCATTTTCCAGGTTGAAGAGTGAGACAAGAAAGTAGGCTTTACAGGCTAGCTGCTTCCTTGCTCAACATACTCTTTGACCCTGAAGATGGATACAGTACACTCCTCCAAAATGTCGGCAAACTTCTACCAGACTACATGGCATCATATATCAGAAGAGCATACTCTTCAGTGATTATGAAACTTTACACAACTCTTGGGTCTTCTAAATTTCTGATCTCTAGAAATTGTGGATCCTTTCAACGTATTGTTCCATTATAGAGTTAATGCTCAGTTACATTTAAGCACCAAAATACTTACATTAAAGATATTGTAGTATTCATATAGAGCAGACAAAGTGAGCATTGAGTTTGAATGTGCAGCAATGTGATAGTGACCTAGGAGTGAGTGTCGTCTGTTAGACTGGTGATACAGTGTGCAAGTATGTAGGATGTGCCCACATCTAAATGTTCCAGCCTCTCATGGCCATCCTCAGGCAACTGTTCATTTGTTGAAGTTGCTACCCTGCATTAGTTCTAAGTTAAAATAGTCCAGTGTTATTGCATTTTCATCATTCTCATTAAAACACATTTGCTTGAGAACATCACTCTTTATCTTTTCTTGAACTACCTTCTACTTGCAGTATCCATGTTTTTTTTTGTGTTCTTTTGTTTGGCCCATATTAATATCTGTGTGGTGTTATCACTGTTACTTTATGTGCCTCATTAGTACATATGTACCCATACAGTTGCTCTACTCGAGTGGATGTCACTGAGGAAGAGGGTGCTAGTAAAGATAAAGGATGAAGTTCCCAAGCAAATGTATTTTAATGTGAACAAAGAAAATGCAATAACATACAATATTTTAACTTAAAAACTAATGCAGTGTAGCAACTTCAACAAATGAACAGTTGCCTGAGGATGGCCATGAGAGGCTGAAACATGTTCACCATGAGAGACTTTGTGTTAGTGATTTGTTCAACAGTGTGCTGAGCCCCTTTCTTTGACAGTTTTTTTCTTCTTCAGATGAGGCAGGTTTTGGTAGAGATGGCATAAATTTTTCACAACCACCACACGTGGGCAGAGGACAATCCTCATAGTGTCCTCCAATCCAGACACTGGTAACAGTGCAGCATTAATGTCTTGGCAGGCGACTACTATGAAGATTTCCTGTTAAAATCTGCCAAGTATACTAGATGTACCAGTGGTGGTCAGAGTACACGTGTAATTTATGCATGATGGTGCTTCAGCAGATTTCAATTGTGATATGCACGTCTACAACAATACCTATCATAACTGATGGACAGGTAGAGGAGGACTCACTACACGCCTCCCACACTCACCTGATTTGAATCTTCTGGAATTCTACTTGTGAGGGCACTTAAAAGCCCTTGTGTATTCAGCTCCTGTTCATAATGTGGAGACATTTAACCAATTCACTGTGAACACCTGTCAGACTGTGCAAAAGTATCCTGGGATCTTTGAACAGGTTTGCCAGTCCATGATAAGACATACCAAAGCATGTATTGAGTCTTATGGAGGACATTTTGAGCACCTGTTGTTTGAATTATATCCAAGAACACACACACACACATAACTAGTGTTTTAGGAATATTATTTTAATGGACTGTAAATGCATCCTTTCAGTGCTGTAACTCAGAAAGGTAAGTGTCTGTGGTCCCACATTTATATAAACTTGTCTTCTTGTTTTTGTATTTGGAACTCATCGCCAAGTATGTCCCCACATTTCAGATTCACTGTGCATACATGCACGCAACATTTTTATACATCACATACCTGGAAGTGACATGTGCAGTGAAACAATCGATGAAAGACATTTACCTGAAGATGGCTGTATACAGCCAAAATGTCATAAACATGCATAAAACATGAACCAGGTGGTAAAAGCCACATTCCACAACTAAACAGTTATATTACATGGCTGCTTTACATACAAATATATAAAAGAAGTGATTTAAATTCATCTAACCTAACCTGTCCCAAAAAGTAGATATCCTGGAGAAGTAAAGGGAAGTCATCTGGGAGCCTCCTGAAAATCCTTTGGCTGGTCAGACAAGAGGGACATATTCTGTTCATGTCATCTTGCACTGTATGCACTTGAACTCGCGGATTTTCTGGAGGCTCTAAAATGACATCCCTATATATATATATATATATGACCAAATATGAGAACACATATTTATATTATACTACTAAATTAAAGCATCTGTTGGTATAAAATGAAATTATATCACAATATAGTATGAGGAAGAAGCATGAATTCTAGTGATTGATGTTGTCAACAGAGTTAATATTTTCCTTCTAATTTGTTATAATTGGATTGACAACTTGCACTTTTTTGCAAAAGGCCTTATTTATTATTTTATATTTTTATATATTTTATTTACTGACAACTTGTATTGTTTTCCAAGAGGCTTCATTTATTATTACTTTGTACTTTAGATTTTACATATTACATTTAATGTGTATCTGTATTTTATTGCATGTGACTGTTTGTCTCTGACATGATATATGACAATTTTTATATCCAGCCCTATGGGGTGACTGTTGGATCAAAGAAATGTATTAAAAAAAAAATAAAAAAATGATCACCATGCTGTGACGT